TTAAGTATTGTACCACTTAGCTACACCCTCAGCCCCAGAAACCCTTGTTTTAATTAATGATTAATATGAGGAATCTTCTGTAAAGACTTGTCAATGGGTGCTGAAGAAATAGCTTATCGATTAAGAGCACTTGCTGGTCTTTCAGAGGACATAGTTTCAGTCCCAGTACCTGTGTGGTGGCTCAAGGCTGGCTGTAATTTTAGTTCCAGGGGATCCAATGCCTTTTTCTGGCATGGAGGTGAACACTCATAAACAAAATAAAAGGAATCCTCTTCCTGTCCCTCCTCTGTCCTTCTCTTCCCTCCCCCTTCCCCTCCCTCTCTCTTCCCCTCTCCCCCTCTCTCCTTCTCCCTCTCTCCCTGTCCTGAAATTCCCTATGTAGACCAGGTTGGCCTTGAACTCACAGAGATCAGAAATCTGCCTGCTTCTACCTCCCAAATGGTGGGATTGAAGGTATGCACTGCCACACCAGGCCCTTTTTCTTTTAAGTGGAAGGCAATCCTGGACCAGGCTATGGTGATCCACAGCTGTAATTTCACAACTCAGGAGGCTGTGGCAGGATGATCACAGCTTCAAGGTCAGTGTGTGTTACATAGTAAGATGGTAAATTTAAGGAGGAAAAAATGTGCTGGGCAATGGTGGTGACGTACACCTTTAATTCCATCACTTTGGGGGCAGAAGCAGGCCAATCTCTTAATTTCAAGGCCAGCCTGATCTGCAGCATGAGTTCCTGCATGGCCAGGGCTATTAAACAGAGAAACCCTGTCTCTACAGAAAGGAGATGTGGTGAGGTCACCTCTAGGGCTAGGGGAAGATAGGGGAGAGTAATGTGGAAGATGGGACAGTTCTGGGGATGGTGGCAACAGTACAGCAGCATGAAGACACTGGACACCCCTGAAGTATCTTTCTTCTTTAGATTTTATGTGTATCTTTCGCCTGCATGTATGTCTGTATGACACATATGTGCCTGATATGTGTGGAGATCAGATTCCCTGGGGCCACCAGGTTGGCGCTGGGCATTGAGCATGGGTACTCTGGAAAGAACAGCCAGTGCTCTTCCAGCTGCAATTCCAGCCTCAATACAGCAGCCAGGGGCATTGGATCCCCTGGAACTAAAATTACCTTAAGCTCATAGCTGCTAGCCTGGTGTGTGCAGTAGTGAACAAGAGACCCTGTCTCAAATGAGGTGGAAGTCAAGGACCGACACCCAAGGTTGTCTTCTAATCTCCAACAAGTGTGCTGTCCAATGCACCCACACACAAATATTTTTTAAATGGTTAAAATGGTGTTTTGCATATATTTACCACAGAGAGGAGAACATAAAATCAAAGTGTTTTCTAGTCCCACACATTAGAATTACATTATAATGTTCCTGCCTGGCATGTTGGCCCACCAAATTTATATAAAAGGAGGGCAGGAGCTGGGGAGATGCCTCAGGTTAAGAGTACTGGCTGCTTTTCCAGAGGACCTAGGTTCAATTCCCAGCACCCACATGGCTGCTCACAACTGTCTGTAATCCCAGTTCCAGATTTAACACCTTCACACCAATGCACATAAAGTAAATTTTAAAAAAACAAAACAAAATAGGGGGCTGGACAGATGGCTTAGAGGCTAAGAGCACCAACTGCTCTTCCAGAGGACCTGACTCACAACCATCTGTAGTGAGATCTGGTGCCCTCTTCCTCACCTGCAGGGATACATGCAGACAGAACACTGTAAATAAATAAATCTCTAAAAAATAAAATAAAAGGAGGCCAGGGGACAGAGATCATTTGGGCAACTCCAGTTGTTAAAGCTTGCCTTGCTGGGTATGGTGGTGCATGAGGCAGAGGCAGGCATATCTCTGTGCGTGCATTCAGAGCCAGCCTGATCTACAGAGCGTTCCAGGACAGCCAAAGCTACACAAAGAAACCCTTTCTAGAAAAAAACAAAAACAAATAAAGTTCTTTTAACTCAATAGCATTGTCTTTTTCTGTTTATTTTCTAGTTGAATTTTCTAGATGCAAGAGAAATCGGAGCGGTGTGGATATTTACCTAAACTCACGGAAGCCAACCCGTGTGATGTTGGACAGTCCTACCATCCAGATCAGAAAGATCCGTGTTGTAGTGTTGTGATTAAGAAAAGTGGCTGGAGAGAGAATGACACCATTTGACAGGGTTCAAGCAGGGGAATTTTTTTTTTTTTTAATTAGGGAAAGGTCATCCCTGGACCTCCAGGGATGGAGCAGCAGGAGAGAGGAAAGTGGGACAAAGACAGAAAGAGAAAGGGGGGCAATGAGAGGGGGGAGGGAGGAGGTGGGCAGGGCCCTTTGAAAAGTGAACATAGTGAATATGCACAGGTGGTGAGTGCTCTTAGAGACTGCAGCTGAGAGCATATCGTGTCAGAACCCCAAGCACAGGCCAGTACAGATGTCTGAATGCTAACAGTCAGCCCAGTGTGCATGAATGAATGGGGGCGGGTTTGCTCCAGACAGCAGGCTTTGGGGGAAACTTGAGAACCTAAATCAGTGGGCTGTTAGTGGTCTCAGTATATTTTACCCTTCACCTTTCCCTTCCACTACCCTCTCTTCTCCCTTGTGTTTTTTCCTCCCCTCCCCTCCCTTGCTCTCCCCTCCCATCCTCCCCCACCCACTGCCCTCTCCCCTTCTCTTCCTTCCTCTGTCTTTTGTTTTCTGGGCTAGAGGCCAAACCTTAGGCCTCATGCATACTAGGCAGGTGCTCACAACTGAGCTCCAGCCTAGCCCTTGCTTAACTGCTGATCTCTCCAAACCCTGTTCGTTTGTTTGTTTAAGGTAGGGCCTCACTCACTATATAACTCATTCTTGAATTTCCTGAGTAGACCAGGCAGGCCTTGAACTCATGATCCTCCTGCCTACCCTTGCTCCAAAGTTCTGATATTTCAGATATGTGCACTGCACCCTGTTCTGCTCATCCACTTCTTTTATGTGTGCTTGAATCATGACAGCTGTCATGTAATGAGATAACATCATCTCTCCTAAGACTTGGAGCCAGAAATGTCTAGTTTTAAAATTGTGGCATCTTCCACTTATTCCTCAACTCTCACACTATAGAATTACACCCCAGGCTCTGTTTCTTACCCTACTAGTGGCTTCCCCTGAAATTACCTGTCTAGAACTTAGCTCTTAAACTGGCAGTTAAAGGAAGGTAAGAGCTGCCCGTAGATCTCCATTGGCCAATGCAGCTCAGGGGTGCAGTGCTGGCCTGGTATTCCATCCAGTATGGTGAGGCAGCGCGTGCATATGTCCCCAGCACAGCTGGTTGGAGCCTGACTGACACCTCAGGGCTGAAACGAAGCACTGTCCAGCAGGCCACTCTTGACCGTTGTTCCTTTTCTGATAGCCCCTAGGCTGCAGTGACCTAACTGGACCTCCCCAAGTGGGAAGCTGTTTCTAGTAAGATCAGGGTTTTATTTTAAACTTTAAAAAGATTTATTGTATTTTTAAAAATAATTTATTATTATTATTATTTTTTTTTTTACTCATTGGTATTTTGCCTGTATATACTCTGTGAGGGTATCTGTCGGATCCCCTAGACTGGAGTTACAGACAGTCATGAGCCGCCAGTGCTCTTAACTGCTGATCCATATCTCCAGCCCCTGTATTTTTATATTTTAAAGATGGTGGGAGGATGAAAAGATGGCTCAGTGCTTAAGAGCAGTGGTTGCTTTTCCAGAGGACTTGGGTTCCATTCTCAGCCCATATAGTATGTAGACAGACTTTTCTCTTTGGGCCACTAGCTCACAAAACATGACATGGAAACTTATTGCAGCTTTAGTTTGGACTTGTTTCTAACTAGCTGTTATAGCTTAAATCCATATTTTTTAATTTACGTTCTTTAAATGTTTGTTGCCTAATCTCCATTATGCCAGGCCTGATTATTATAGACCAGGCTGCCTTAAACTCCTAGAGATCCTCCTGCCTCTGCCTCCTGAGTGTTGGGGTTAAAGGTGTGTCTATCACTTGGCTTAAATTTTAAATATTTGTTTGGTTTGGTTTGTTTTTTTGAGTTGTTCTGTATTGATTTGGAGCCTCTCCTGGAACTAGCTCTGTAGATCAGGCTAGACTCAAACTCACAGAGATCCACCTGTCTCTGCCTCTTGAGTGCTGGGATTAAAGGCAGGCACCACCACCATCCAGCTTAAATTTTAAGTGTTTTATAAAAAGAAGATTTATTCAGGTCAGTGGTGGCCCATACCTTTAATTCCAGCACTCTGTAGACAGAGGTAGGCAGATATCTGTGAGGCCAGCTTGGTCTACAGAGCAAGTTCCAGGGCTACATAGAGAAACCCTGTCTTGAAAAACCAGAATAGGAGGAGGAGGAAGAAAAGGAGGGGGGAGGGGAAGGAGGAGGAGGAAGATTTATTTTGTTATTTTATATGTGAGTGTTTCTCTGCACTTGTTTATATGCCCCACATGTGTGCTGTGCCTGCAGAGGCCAGAAGAAACTGCTGAACTGTTGCTGGGAAATGCACTCAGTTCCTCTGGAAGGGGAGTAAGAACTCTTAACCATCCAGCCATCTCTCTGGCCCACAGAGTCAGGCTTTCAAAGCATTTCTGGGAACCTGTCCCTAGCTTTTCATTACTTGGAACCCATGACCTGTTCTGGTAACACATGAACCCTGTGAAAAGAAGTTGTTCTCCAAAGTCAGTGATGACTTCTCAGACTTCCTACTCCTTTTTAGAAAAATAAAAACAAAATGAAGCCTTTAAAATGTGAACTTACTTTCTTTCCTTTTTTTAGGGTTTTTTCTTTTTTCTTTTCTTTTTTTTTTTTTTTTTTTGGTTTTTTGAGAAAGGTTTCTCTGTGGCTCTGGAGGCTGTCCTGGAACAGAAAAGTAGATCAGGCTGGTCTCAAACTCACAAATGTCCACCTGCTTCTACCTCTGGAGTGCTGGGATTAAAGGCATGTGCCACCACCACTCAACTTAAAATGTGAACTTTGAATGCATGTACTAAAATTGTTTTCAATCCTCCAGGGTGTGTGGAATGACTGACTGGTTGACAGAAAGCCCACAAGGACAGGGCTACAAGATTTAGCTGCTATTAGTTCACTTCCTGGCAGCCTGGGACCTGCCTCCCAGGCATCTCAGGCACCATGGACTCCCCAGGGTACAACTGCTTTGTGGACAGGGACAAGATGGACGCATCCATCCAGGACCTGGGGCCAAAGGAACTGAACTGTACCGAGCTACAGGAATTGAAGCAACTGGCACGTCAGGGCTACTGGGCTCAGAGCCACGCCCTGCGGGGGAAAGTGTACCAGCGCCTGATCCGGGACATCCCCTGCCGCACGGTCACACCTGATGCCAGTGTGTACAGCGATATTGTGGGCAAGATTGTAGGCAAGCACAGCAGCAGTAGCTTGCCCTTGCCTGAGTTTGTGGACAACACTCAGGTGCCCACCTACTGCCTGAACACACGGGGTGAGGGGGCTGTGCGCAAGATCCTTCTGTGCATCGCCAATCAGTTCCCCGACATCTCCTTCTGCCCTGCCCTGCCTGCTGTGGTGGCCCTGCTGCTGCACTACAGCATTGATGAGGCTGAGTGTTTTGAAAAGACCTGCCGCATCCTAGCCTGCAATGACCCCAGCAAGAAACTCATTGACCAGAGCTTCTTGGCCTTCGAGTCCTCCTGCATGACATTTGGGGACCTGGTGAACAAGTATTGCCAGGCAGCCCACAAACTGATGGTGGCTGTGTCAGAGGATGTCCTGCAGGTCTACTCTGACTGGCAGCGATGGCTGTTTGGGGAGCTGCCCCTCAACTACTTTGCCCGAGTTTTTGATGTCTTCCTTGTAGAAGGCTACAAGGTACTGTACCGAGTTGCTCTGGCCATCCTCAAGTTCTTCCACAAGGTGAGAGCAGGACAGCCCCTTGAGTCTGACAATGTAAAGCAAGACATCCGCATATTTGTCAAGGACATTGCCAAGACAGTGTCCCCTGAGAAACTACTAGAGAAGGCCTTTGCTATCCGCCTATTTTCCCGAAAGGAGATCCAGCTCTTGCAAATGGCCAATGAGAAAGCACTAAAGCAGAAGGGCATTACTGTCAAGCAGAAAAGGTAGGTGGGCCCCAGGATCGTGTGCATGTGTTCTCATGCCTCTGGTTGTAAGTGTGTGTGTGTGTGTGTGTGAGAGAGAGAGAGAGAGAGAGAGAGAGAGAGAGAGAGAGAGAGAGAGAGAGAGAGAGAGCCTGTGCCATAAGCATATTGCATCTGTGAAGTGGGGCGCTTTAGTGGAATGTACCCTTGAGGTCTGAGCATGAGCTTATCCTGCCAGCCATTGGTCTGATTCTAGCCTTCTGTCTGTCTACCTACTCACATGTGAATAGGACACTAGAAAGCAGGAAAGGCTTTGTAGTTATGGCCTTAACAAGACAAGGAAGCTGGATGCTATTGGGGTTAGAATGTCCGGCAGTTGCTAGGCTGGCTCCTAGGGGGCCACATTGGAACAGCTAGCTCCTACTCTGCCCTTCTAGCTCCAAGCTTCATGGCTGACATTCTTTGGAAATGCTGATTGTGGGCTCCTTGTCCCTGGGGAACAGGGTTGGGAAGAGTCAGGGTGTTTGATACCTGACACTGTACACTGCTATAGGCATGGCTTCTGGCATGGAGTTCACTTTGTCCTGGGCCCAAAGGAAGGCATACCTGGGGATCGGTACCCACCACTAACCTCGCCTTGTCTGTTTTATTTTTCTTCTTCTCCGTGTTGTTGCTTCCTCCTGTTTCTCAGTGTCTCACTTTCTAAAAGGTAGGTCTGAAACCACACCTTGATGCTTGGCCTCTCTGCTCTGCCTTTCTTCCAGCCAGCTCTGGCTTGGCTACTCGCTGACTCCCAAGGCCCACTTGGCTCTCCTGGGCTGGCTTCTGCTTGCTGCTTTAGCCTGATTGATATAGGCACTGTCTGTCTGTCCATCCGTCTTTCTGCCTCACTTGTGTGATCTGCTGGTGCTTGGCTGGCTCTGCAGCCTTGCCTTGCTGGAGGCTTACTTCATTTGTCCTGGTTTCTTAAGAAAATGGCTTTTGTTCCCCATACTGCAAGGCTGGGCACTCTCCCATGTATCAGATGGGAGGTGGGGCTTCTAGGAATAATTTTCACCCCATTTCCAACTGGCACTTAAAGCCAGGCTGCAAATCCGGCTGAGTAGGTGAGATGACCTTTCCAGGCTAAGTACCAAAATGAAACTGTGGTGCCTCAGGGTAGGGGTGCAGTCAGGACTGTGGTCACTATGGGTTCTCACCCCTCCCCACTTTTCCCAGGCAGTTTGTGCACTTGGCTGTCCATGCAGAAAACTTCCGCTCAGAGATTGTCAGTGTGAAGGAGATGAGAGACATTTGGTCCTGGATCCCTGAGCGTTTTGCCCTCTGCCAACCCCTCCTTCTCTTCTCCTCGCTGCAGCATGGGTACAGCTTAACCAGGTGAGGTGCCCCCAAGACTTTGAGAGTCATCATATCCTGCACTCCACTTCAGGAAGTTATGGGCTGGTGGAAATGAGTTTTTGAACCTGGGGCCCTGATAAGGTCTTGCTTCATCCTGTGAGGCCTGAGAATCAGGAGGCTCTCTTCCTGACCTTCTGTCATTCCCAGGCTCCGTAGACTTTGAAGTCTTTGCTGTGTACACCATACAGCAAAGATCCTATGAGGGTGTCATAAAATACAAAACTCAAAATTCCTATCATAGGAGCTCAGAATTATTGGAGAGTTGTCACCTGAACAGCTGGCCCTGGTTTCCCTGCTACCTTCACCCACTGTGTCTATCACAAGCCTGGACCAGGTACCCCTCTTGGGGTCTCTATCTGTGTAAATACCTGGTATTTTAGCAAGGTCACACTGCCCTCCGAGCTACATTGGTTGGGTTAAGTTAGTCTCAAATGACAGTTCACAAAATCTGGAACACCCTCCCACAACCCCAAGTCCCCTGTCTGCAACCACACAAGCATTTTGGCTTAATTAATAGTCACTTCTCCCCAGGCATCGATGGTACACACTTTTAATCCCAGCACCCGGAGGCAGAGGCAGACCCATCTACAAAGTGAGTGCCAGGATAGCCAAGGCTACAAAGAGAAACCCTGTCTTCTCCTAGCCCCCAGGAATGTCTGAGCACCACAGTGGCAAGCCTCACCTTCCTCACATGTCCAGGGCTGAGCTTTTCCTGTTTCTCTGGTTCCTGCTTCCCTGTAGCTTCCGGCTCTCAGCTTTGCCTGAGGGGGAATACACCATGAATCTTCTCCTTTGTCATACCAGGACAGTCTGGCCTGGCCAAAATGACATTGCAAGATCCTTAGCCACTGTGGATAGAGGTGGTGGGAAAGGAGCATAGTCCTCAGGCCTCTCTACCCTAGACTTAGGGACTTACAGTTGTCAGTGCTGACAGGAGATGCCAGGGAGGGCATGCAGGGTAGCACATGTGGTCTCTGCCCCCAGGTTCTATTTCCAGTGTGAAGGACACGAGCCCACCCTCCTGCTCATCAAGACCACGCAAAAGGAGGTGAGAAGCCTGGTTTACTGGGCTGATGCCAAGACTTGAGTGTGGATATGGTCCCAGCATGGAACTTGTTATCATGCTTGAGAGCCACAGGGGAAGACAAAACAACCCAGAGGGTACACTCCCTAAACTCAGTCCTCTCCCACAGCCTTTTGCCCTCAGTGGTGGGAGAATGCAATATACAACACCCTAAGCTGGGACTTGTCTCACTCAGCATACCTGAATGAGGGGACCCTCCTGAGGACAGAACGCCACCCCCAGAAAGTCTCACCCCAGCCTTCCTCCCTAGGTTTGTGGTGCTTACCTGTCAACCGACTGGAGCGAGAGAAATAAGTTTGGAGGCAAATTGGGCTTCTTTGGAACTGGAGAATGCTTTGTTTTTAGGGTGAGTTGGGTTGAGTGTGGGGTCCCTCTGCCTATTCCCTTCTTCCTCGGCTGTTCCTGTCTCTTCAGACGTTCTGAGCACTTAATCGGCCCTCCAAGACTGAGTGTTGGCCCAGCTCTGTCCTGGGCCAGGATATTGTCTGACCCCTGACTGTCCCAGAGGCTGGCTGGAGGGGTTCAGGAGTCATCAGGCCATGTACTTGGGCACCCCGGCACAAGAGCCTTGTTTCATTTTCATTTCTGGGTCTCCTCTGCTAATGTGGTATGCCATTGCCACAGTACCTCACTTAGGGACTCACCACAGCAGATTCATGGGATGGAGATGGGCTGTGGCTTTGGAGCAGGAAGGCCCAATGAGGTGCGACATTCCACTAACTCTGATTACCACCTATTCCTCCCCAGCTGCAGCCCGAGGTACAGCGTTATGAGTGGGTGGTCATCAAGCACCCAGAGTTGACCAGGCCCACATCCTTGAAGTCCTCAGAAGCTGCAGCTGCTCCTTCCTTCCTCAGCCACTCTGTCTCTTCAGAACCTGCTGATCGGCTCTCACCTTTCCTGGCTGCCCGGCACTTCAACCTGCCTTCTAAGACTGAGTCCATGTTCATGGCTGGGGGCAATGACTGCCTCATCATTGGTGAGCACCTGTTCCCTTCACTTCAGTCTGGGAGGAGAACACGTGGGATTGAGGGTAGCTAAAGCCCCTGTGCGCAGTCCTTGTTGACTGGTTGTAGTAGACATGTCAGTTAAGCAAAGGAAAAGGACCTAGGTTGTTGGGGGTAGATTAGGCATGAAAGATGGGAGATAAGGGCTAGCAAACAAGCATTAGCCAGGACAGACAGGCCCAGGTAAACTTGTGGTTTTAGAGCCTCTGTTGCTCATAGGTTTCCTTACTGAGATTGTCATTTAGCAGATCTTTCAATGACAGAGATGGGGTATCTAGGGATGGGGTGATTGTTAGAGCAGAAAGACATCTGTTCCCTTGCATATCCCACAGGGGGAGGAGGTGGCCAAGCACTCTACATTGACGGGGATCTGAACCGCGGCCGCACTGGACACTGCGATACTTTCAACAACCAGCCCCTTTGTTCTGAGAACTTCCTCATCTCAGCTGTGGAGGCTTGGGGCTTCCAAGACCCCGATACCCAGTGATGGGTCTGTGTTGGTGGTGACTGAGCCAGCCACATTGTGGGGTGATGGGGTGGAAGCCAAGCTGCCTCTTGAGCAAGCAGGGAGTGAGCACGATACCACCTCATGAAGCAGGCATGCTTGGTGTGCAGTGGGGACGGCAGTGTCACAAGCCAAGTCTGACCTCTCCTTAAACTGGCTGCCCCTCTGCTTGGACTGGCTAGGACCCCTGAACTCTCATGCTTCTGAGCTCAAGGGGCTATTTTGCCCCGTCCCTGTCCAGTTTCTGTCCTCACCCAGGGTCCTGTACCCAAGATTGCCCAGGGCTACATTGCTCTGCCCCTGGCCTCAGTCCCTTGGAGGGAAAGGGCAAATGATTCTTGCCAAATGTGAGTCTGTGGTGCCCCCTGCTGGTACTTTGGCCCTGCAGGCTCTGAGGCACCCCTGAGCTACATTGGCTGCTGCAGGACAGGATAGGAGAGGGCAGGATTTGTGCAGAGCATTGCAGCTCCTTCTGTCCTAGAAGGGATGAAGGCTGGAGAGCTGTCTTTTGTCTTCGTGTTTCTGCAGAGCCTGAAGCTCTTGCCACGCCTCACTGCAAGTCCACACCTGAAGGGGGCCTCTGGAGAGATTTGCTTTGACCAAGCTGGCCATTTCAGCTCTATTCCCCAGGCTGTCCTCAGAGATGACTGGACTCAGTGAGGCTGCCTGCCCTCCTGCCCATACCTGTAGCCTCCTTGAACTTCGGTAGTCTTGGTGACTTCTGTGTTGCCTTTCCCTGTCACTGTAGTGACTGAGGCCCAGGTCACCCGAACCCCAGCATGGCATGCTTGTCTCAATTCGTCTTCTGCCTTCTCCTCAGGCCTATGGTTCCCTAGACCTGTTCACACAGCATCTGATAAACCAGTGTGACTTTCTGATCCCTCTGCTGTCACTATGGCTAGCCACGTGCCATGTTTTCTGTACGCTACCCCTTCTCTCATCATGGCCTTCCATCTCTGGATGTCTGTGCTTCTTGAGCCCCGTGCTGGCCAGGAACACAGCAGATGCCAAGGGAAGAGCTGCTCTGAGGACTGCAGCAAGCTCATTTCCCTGTGACCGCCCTCCTCCCCTGTGACCTCCCTCAGCTGGTCCTGAAGGTCGAGGCACCACAGAGGAAGAGAGAAGAAGCAGTGGCCCAAATGGCTGTTCTGGGGCCATGAAAGTCTGGATCTTAAGAACAGTTGCCTGTTTCCCCCATGACTGTGTGTGGCGTGCCTCAGTCAGCATGTTTCACACCTGTGCTGGTCTCCACACTGATACTCTTGCTGTGGAAGGTTCGTTCTTCCCTGTCCCATCTAGTCATACCAGTTCTCAGCAAGGCCACTGTGGCACAAGAGGCAGGGCAGAGAGGAGCCCCCTGAAACTTTGGGCTACCTGCTAAACATACGCAGAGCTTTGGACCCTGCACAGTAGACCAGGTCTCCCACCGTGCTGGCTTCTAGGCCAGGTCGACGTGACTCTCTAGAGGGAAGAGGTACTGGGAGGAACTGTTGTTACTCACCTCCAGAACGTTGTAGCCCTTGCCACCCGTTCCTCTGAACCCACTGTCCTAGGCCTGTACCTCCAACTTTGGTGTTCATTTAAAACCATCTTGATTTTTGTTATTGTTCTTTCTGGCAAAAATTTACCAGGTAGCCTATTTGGTCTGGAACTCCCTAGGTAGCCCAGGCTAGCCTGAAAATTGCTCTGTAGCCTTGGTTGGCCTCAAAATCATGATCTGCCTCAGCCTCCTAGATGCTGGGTTCATAGGCATTAAGCTCAGCACTTTCCCATTGCATTAACTCGGGGACTCTTGAGTTTGGTCTCCAGCCTGAAGGCCCCCAGGATTTTTCCAGGCTGTGCCATCATGATGCTTACCCATGCATTGCCACTGGGACTCAAGCCTTTCCGAAGCAGATTAAGTTAACTGGGAAGTGTGTGTGCAGGACCCTGTAAGGCTCCTGACTGGGTAATAGATTTCTTGTTTTGTGTAGCCCCCGCTAGCCTTCCTGGAGGTCCAGTACATGAAGACTGGTTGATGCTTAGTCACAATTACATCATAAGCAAAGTTCTTTGCTTTTACCCACAACACACTCAGTTCTTTAAACTTACTATCTTCTTTTTTTTTCTGACTTTTCTACCAAAAGGTGTCATTTTCTTTATATTTTTATTCTTATCACTCTTCTTATCTGATACTAAGTGTTCCCACTTAGTACTTATTAATGTTTTCTATTATTTATTAGCTTTTGATGTTAAAAACAAGCCAAAAGTTGATGGCATTGTATAAGAACTTATATTTTATCAGCACTTGTTTTTAAAACAAATATTGAACTTAATATAAGCCAGTTCATTAAACTGAATAACTTTGTTAATATAAACCATATGCCTTTGGGACCTCGGAGAATCAGTTTGTGCTTTGGTTTTGTTTATGACAAGAATCAGTGTCATATAGCTCTGTTTAGTCTTGAACAAACTGTAGATGCAGCTTTCCTTCAACTCATCTTTGTGCTTGCACACCCCACACATCACAGGGGGTCACAATTTGGATCACAGAGGTATGCTGCTTTGCTTGGTGATAATCAGCTCATTTTCAAAGTAATTTAGGATACAACATTTACATTTTAAGAATCTTTCTATTTTAATTATTGAACTAAATTTACTGTTTTTTTAATTTTTCTTATTTTTGTGAGCCATCATGTGGGTGCTGGGAATTCAACCTGGGTCCTCTGTAGGAGCAGCCTGTGCTCCTAACAGTTGAGCCATCTCTCCAGCCCCTTAGTTTTTCCTAATTTTGTAACCTGCTTGCTTCTGTTTTTCCAGGTTTTCAGAGTAGTTTGTTTTAGAGCATTCTGAATTTCAGATTTTTCAAGTTTTTCTTACTCATTTCCTGAGTCCAACAGCTTTTCTGATCTCCTTAAGTATTTTATATTTATTGATTTAGGTTTTGTACCCATTTTTTAAGGTGGTGAAGATTGAACCTAGGACCCTATACATACTAGGCATATTCTCCACACTGAACTATGTCCTTCCTCAGCCCTACATTTGTATGTTGAACTGGTTTTCACTTTACATCAGAAATTGCTGAGATGGAAGTTTTTATAAACCCTCATCCACTTGATATCAAAACAATTGACCTAGTGACATGCCTTCAACCCCAGCACTCAGAAGGTAGAGGCAGGTGGATCTCTGTGAGTTTGAGGCCACCCTGTTATATGCAGCAAGTCCCAGACTAGCCAAGGCTAAATAATGAGACCTTGTCTTTAAAAAATATAGGGGGAGGGGTGATTTAGAGAGAACAGTGGTTAGACCATTGGCTGCTCTTCCAGAGGACCTGGGTTCAATTCCCAGTAACCACATGGAAGCTCACAATCATCTACAACTCTAGTTCCCAGGAATTCAGGCCCTTTCCTGGCCTCTACGGGCAGTGTACCCGTATGTAGACATATTTGGAGACAAAACACTCATATACATAAAATAAAAATCAAGGAAAAACGAAACAAATTAGCATAGGTGCAGCCCCTGACAAAACCACAAGCATTGTTTTTCCACTGGACAGGAATACAGTTTTTACAGATACTTGCCTTCGCACACTTCCACTAAATCTAGAAAGTTGTCAAACTCAAAAGACTAGGTTTTTGGGTGTTTTGTTTTGTTAGTTTGTGGTTTTGGTTTTTTTTTTTTTTTTTTTTTTTGAGACAGGGTTTTTCTATGGCTTTGGAGCCTGTCCTGGAACTAGCTCCTTTAGACCAGGCTGGCCTCAAACTCACAAGATCTGCCTGCTTCTGCCTCCCAAGTGCTGGGACTAAAGGCGTGTGCCACCAACCACTAACACCTGGCAGTTTGGAGGTTGTTTTTGTTTGGTTTGTTTTTGTTTTTTAAAGCCACATTTAGGTTGTAGTTCTCATAGCAACTACCTCCAATGTAGCTAGCTCCTCAGTAGCTCTCTTCAGGTTTATGTGGCAAAGTGCCAAGCAGGCCCTACAGTTCTTTCCCCACAGCATTTACATCAGTCCAGAAAGCATGTGAAGTGTAAAGGAGAACTTTGGTATTAAGATTCTTACACGGGCTTGATGTTTGTCTAAAACACCAGCACATGTAAGGTAAAGGCAGAAAGATCAGGTCTTTTGCTACATACAGAGTTCATGGCTAGCTAGGGCTACAATAGGTCCTGTTTAAAAAAAAAATTAAAAAACAAAATGGAACTTTTTATGGCTTCCCCCATTATCTCAGTTTCTGGTTGTGCTGTTGGTACCAGGCACAGTGTAACATGGTACATTACCACAGACAGAATGATGTTGTTTGCAGGCTCAGTCATTCTCTTGAACTGCATGGAATTTGTCAACATTGTATTTAGGACTAAGGAAGCAGTCAGTGGACACATGGACACATTGACCTGTGACATGGCAGGAACCAAACAAACAAAATATTTCCATGTAGACTGGCATCCACTGGTGTGCCACCTGGCTGCTCTGCAGTTATTGCCTCTCCCTGTTTTCCTATATGAAGAGATTTGAGCACCTGCTGGGCATTATACCACAGCATTTGACTTATGGTTGGAAGCTTGTGAGCTGGAGTGCAAATATAACTCATCCATTAAGAGCTGGACTCATCCATTAAGCTGCCAGCTGGGCATGGTGGCACACATCTTTAGTTCCAGCACTCAGGAGGCAGAAGCAGGTGGATATCTGAGTTCAAGGCTAGCCAGACTACACAGAGAAACCCTTTCTTGGGGTAGGGGAAGCACTGATGCTCTTCCAGAGAATCCAGGTTCGATTTTCTTTTTCTTTTGTTTTCGGGGGGGGGGGTTTGGTTTTGTGTGGGTTTTTTGTTTGTTTTTGTTTTGAAACAGGATTTCTCTATGTAGCTTTAAAGGTTGTCCTGGAACTAGCTCTGTAGACCAGGCTGGCCTCAAACTCAGAGATCCGCCTGCCTCTGTCTCCCGAGTGCAGGAGTTCGCCACCAACGCCCGGCTCAGGTTTGATTTTCAACACCCAAATTGCAGTTCACCACTGTCCATTTCTCCAGTTCAGCCTCGGCACTTCATGCAAGTGATGCACAGACATACATGCAGGCCATAACAACCAAACACATAAAATAAAGTTAAAAAGTTTGTAGGCTGAAGATTGAAGAGGAAGAAGTTCCAAGCATAACTTCACTTTTTAGATCTTGTCATTATGGGCTTTGACAAGTGGTCGCCAATTAGGAGTCAGAGTACACACCTGTAATCTTAGCACTAAGGAGGCAGAGGCAGGAAGATTGCAAGCAAATAGTCTGACTTAACAGTGAGTTTCAGGCCAGCCTAGCTTACATATTGAGACTTTATCTTAAAAACCCAGAAACAACAAAAAGCATGGTCCCTGGCTAACCTTGTGGAGCATCTGAATGAGTGTACTAAACATACTCATGCTTGCAAAGCAAAAGTGTGGATTTTCAGCAAAATACAATTTTGTGTGTGAAAATAATTGGTTTGGTGTTGTTGTTTGGTTAGTGTTAA